CCCGCTCCCAGCCCCCCTTCCCATTCCCAGCCCCCAGCCCCATTCCCATCCCCATTCCCCAGCCCCGCTCCCAGCCCCGCTCCCCGAGCGCCTCAGACGCCCAACCCGCGCTCCCCGCGGTCCCCCCGGCGCGGACCCTTCTCGGTGACCACGAAGCAGCGGCGCAGCGGCCCCAGGTGCCCGAAGAGCCGCTCCAGGAGCGCGGCGGTGGCTCCGGGGGGGAGGCCCCGCACCAGCACCGTGCGCGCCTCGGGCGCCGCCATCTTGGCGCGCGGGGGATGCCGGGAGCGGGGCGGAGCGGCGCCGGTGCCGGTTCTGCTGTCCCTGCCTGCGCCGGGGGTGCCACGCTCTGTGCCAGCCGTGCCAGCTGTGCCAGGTGTGCTGCATGCTCCAGCCGTGCCGGCCGTGCCAGGTGTTGTGGCTGTGCCGGCTGTGCCCGGTTTGCCAGCTGTGCCAGGTGTGGTGCCTGTGCCAGGTGTGGTGCCTGTGCCGGCTGTGCCAGGTTTGTTGGTTGCTCCAGCTGTGCCGGTTGTTGCAGGTGTTCCAGCTGTGTTGGCTGTGCCAGGTTTACCAGCTGTGCCAGCCGTGCCAGATGTGCTGCTTGCTCCAGCTGTGCCGGCGGTGCTGCCTGTGCCCGGTTTGCCAGCTGTGCCAGGTGTGGTGGCTGTGCCAGCTGTGCCAGGTGTTCCAGCTGTGTCAGCTGTGCCCGGTGTGCCAGCTGTGCCAGGTGTTGTGCCTGTGCCAGGTGTTGTGGCTGTGCCAGTTGCTCCAGCTGTGCTGGCTGTGCCAGCTGGGCCGGTTGTTCCAGCTGTGCCAGGTGTTGTGGCTGTGCTGCCTGTGCCCGGTGTGCCAGCTGCGCCAGGCGGCCACGCAGAGCAGCGCCAGCAGCAGCCGGGGGGCGGCCGCCCCCCCCGCGGGGCACAGCGGCGACATCGGGAGCGGCTGCGGACGGGGGACAGCGGCGTCACCCCCCGGCACCCAGAGCCCCCCCATGGCACCCAGAGCCCCCCCGGCATCCCGGATCCCCCTCGGCAAATCCCGGAACCCAGGGAGCGTTCTGAGCGGGGACAGGGACAGGAGGGGACAGGAGCACCGGGGGGGACAGGAGCACTGGGGGGGACACGGACAGGAGGGGACAGGAGCGCCCCGGGGACAGGGACAGGAGGGGACAGGGACAGGAGGAGACAGGAGCACCTGGAGGGGACAGGAGCACTGGGGGACAGGGACAGGAGCGGGCGGGCCAGGTGCGCTCAAGGATGGACACACGGGAGCGCTCCAGGGCAGGGGACAGAGAATCCCGGGGGGACACCGGGGCACCTGGGGACAGGAGGAGGGACAGGAGCAGCCCGAGGGGGGACAGGGCACCCCGAGTTTGGGACAGGAGCACCTGTGGGGACGCCCCCAGGGAGGGGCAGGAGCGGCGCGGGTGGCGCGGTGGCACTCGGGGACGGGGGGCAGGCGGGGGCGCGCGGAGGTGTCCCCTCCCCCGGAGCTGCCCCCGCCCGCGCCAGGTCCCTAATCGCGGTGACAGGGGCTGTCGCCGCGGGGTGGCACCGCGCCCGTCAGGGCGGCGGCGGCGCGGGGACGACGGATGCGAAGTGACACGAGGGACACGCGGGGACCCGCGGCGGCCCCCGCACAGGACAGCCCGCACCGCGGAGCCGGGCCCGGCGCCCCGGGACGGGGCCCAGCCCCCCGAAATGGCACCCCCGGCCGGGACACCCCCGCAGGGGACACCCCCGAGCTGCCACCCCCGAACTGCCACCCTCCCACGGGACACCCCGGAACCGCCACCCCCGGAATTGACACCCCCGGAGCCGCCACCCCCGCACGGGACCCCCCCCGCCAGAAGGGGGTCCCCAGGCCGCGCCGGTGTCACCC